CGAAGCGTATGTCCCGACAAATTTGACCGTTTGCAGACTTCTGATCTGTATTTGCTTTTCTGCGATTACAGCGCCATCTATCAACAATTCGAAAAAAATGTCCTGAATAAAATTAACTTATTTTTCATGAGGAATCCAAATCTGCAATAAAAAATGGGGGTTCCCATTTAAGATTTCAAAGTTGCCCCCCGTCCCATCCCCAGGGGGTGGGGGTGGGGGGTCGTATTTGGTGTCATTCGATAGATTTTTGAAAAATATTGAACACGTGTTTTTCAATTTTTCGATCCGATGTAAATTTCGCGAAATATTCGACCGTCCCGCTTCTTTTGGCACACCCTGTATATATATATGTATATCCAGGGTGAGTCAATTAAAGTGTTACAAACTTACATCTTTGAAATGAATAATTTTAGAGAAAAATGTTTCAGACAAAAATTATATGGTGTCAAATGGGACATAAGAAAGTATCATTGGTTAGACCTTGATTAACCATTTGAAGGTTACGTGAAGGTCACCAACAATTTTTCAAATGGAACGCCCTACTTTTTTTTGGCATATTCTTATAACGTATTTCAAGAGCATTCCAAACCACTACAACAAAGTATTTTTTTGTTAAGTACATCCCGAGTTATGAAGCTTCAAATGTACAGTATCGTCGGCATTAGCATTACCCAAGGTGTACCGCGTGGAGATTGCACGATCGGATTTACACCTCTTGTGTGCGTGCGTGTGTATGTGTGTGTGTGTGTGTGCGCGTGTGTGTGTGTGTGCGCGTGTGTGTATGCGTGTGTGTGTGAGTGTGTGCGCGCGCGTGCGCGCGTGTCGGATAATGCAAATGCCGGCGGTACTGCAACTTTGAAGCTTCATAACTCGGGATGTACTTAACAAAAAATACTTTGTTGTAGTGTTTTGAAAAGCTCTTGAAATATGTTATAAGAATATGCCAAAAAAAGTAGGGCGTTTCATTTGAAAAATTGTTGGTGACCTTCATGTAACCTTCAAATGGCTAATCAAGGTCTAATCAATGATACCTTCTTATGTTCCATTTGACATCATATAACTTTTGTCTGAAACATTTTTCTCTAAAATTATTCATTTCCAAGATATAAGTCTGTAACACTTTAATTGACTCACCCTGTATATATATATATATATATATACACTCAAACGCAAAAAACCCGGTACACTAAAATTTTGGGAAAAAATTACAAAATTTCAAATGATTATAACTTGGTAAATAATGAAGATACAAATATGCGCAGAAATGCAACATAAAGCTTGAAACGTCCTCTTTAAGAATATCTGAATGGCAATTATGCTCGGCCATTTTTTTCAAAATGGCGGATGATAAAGTGAGAGGATGCAAAATTGATAATCAAAGGTCCGTGTTTGCGATGGTGCATGGTGTGCGTCAGGTATCGCAGCGTAATGGGACCAAATGCACATGAAAGTATAGAGTGTTATCTTTAAAATGCTACTTTACCGAGCTCGATGTGATCATTTTTCACTGAGTTGTTCCAAATTTTGCTAAAAATGCGGTTTTCTTGTTAAATTTGCATAATTCAGTGAATAAGTATCGCATCAAGCTCTATAACGAAGTATTTTAAAGAAAACATTATATACTTTTAGGTACTTTTCGTCCCATTGAGCTGCGACACTTACTTTGCTCCATGCGCCGTCGCACGCTCGAACCTTTTTTAGCAACTTTTCATATTCTCCTTTTTATCACCCACCATTTTGAAAAAATATCGTTGCGCACAATTTCGATAGATCTTTCGAAAATCTTACGGTTTCAAAGCTTTCAAACCGTTTTTGAAATTTGCTGCTAGGATATTTAGGTGTCGAGATATTCAATTTCGAATTTGCAACAAATGTCGATTCAGCGAGGCTTAAGGGGCTAAGAGGCTCTGCGGTTCGTTTGGCTCTTTCATAATTTCAATAGCTGTGTTCATGTTTCTCTATACAATAATTTACACAATTTTGCGAATTGGAAATTTAATTTTTATCAAAAGTTATCGTTCTTTACCCTTCAGTTACGCATGATCACTGTGGTATACACTTTAGTTCGCGAAGCTGTCCCTAGCTCTCTACCTTCTCCGTACGATTGGCCATTATGGTACACAGCTTGAATATGCTGTTCAGGATCGCGCCTGAGTTCGCGGTGACCCGGCGCGCGGGATGCCGAGTCACTGGACGCCACCTGAACATCGAAATTCCCTGGCGCTCCTAGTCCACGGAGCCGCCGCGACGCGGCGATCTGGGTTGTCGCGCGCGCGAGCCCCTCGGCTCGCACGCGAGTTCGAGCTGCCCAGGGCATATAAGAGTGCCCGCGGAGACGATCAGAGATTGCCTTCGTACAGCTTTTGGCCTTCGTACGGTCCACCGCCGATAGTGGCACTATCTCTTGTACGCTGGACTTCGCGAGTTTGTCAGTACGCCGGGCTTACGTTCTGGCTTGACTGAGATTCTGTCGGTGCGCCGGGCTTTAACGCCTGGCTTGACTGGATTTTTCTTAAATGTATGTGCCAAGACAATAAACAGAGACAAACAATTTTCCTTTTCCGAACGTGTTCACTCCGATAAGCGCTGCCTCGTGCGACTTTTCTTTTTCCGTGATCTTTTCCTTTCGAGGCGCGTTGCTTCGTGCAACTTCATCAATTTAAACCATAATTGATTGTTTCGCATCGAAATTATTGCGTCGATTATGGCGACGATAAATCCTGAAAAGGCTGCTCAAGTTATTGCTTTAATTGAAGATGGCAGAAGTCGAAGGTACGTTGCTCAGGCACTTGATTTCTCAGTGTCAACTGTGCAACGTGCTTATGCCAGGTACTTACAAACCAATTCTTTCCATTGAAGGCCTGGTTCGGGACGTCCTCGATGTACCAATCACAATAATGACTGATTTATTGTTTCAAATTCGTTAAGAGACAGACATCGAACATCTGTTCAAATTAGAAACAATTTAAGGGATGTCCGCAACATTAATGTATCCGTTAACACCGTTCGGAGAAGATTAAAGGAACAAAATCTGCTTTCGCGCAGGCCAGCAGCTGTACCTTTGCTTAAATGTCACCATCGCGTAGCTCGACTCAATTTTGCAGTTGAGCATAGAGACTGGACTTACGCAGACTGGAGCAAAGTACTCTTTAGCGATGAATCTCGTTTTTGTGTCTATTCTCCAGATGGACGAGAACGAGTTTATCGTCGCGGTGGAGAACGATTTGCAGACTGTACGGTAAGTGAGAGGCATAGCTACAATGGAGGCTCTGTAATGATTTGGGCAGGAATTTCAGCTAATGTTCATACAGATCTGCACCTTTTTGACAAGAATATGAACGCAGATGTATACGTGGAAGACATACTCATTTCGTATGTTGTTCCGTACGCACCCTTCATCGGAGAGAACTTCTTGTTTATGCAAGACAATGCTCGACCACACACTGCGAGAAGAGTGCTTGATTTCTTCGATGAAGTTGGCATAAATCGACTCGATTGGCCAGCAAATAGTCCAGATTTAAATCCAATCGAACACTTATGGGACAACCTCGGCAGGAAAGTACGAAATCACGTACCTGCTCCTCAGTCACTGCGGGAACTGCGAATAATTCTCGAAAGCGAATGGAATACAATTACGCAGGATGAAATTAAAAGACTAATAAGGATGCCTGATCGTATGAATGAGGTAATACGCGCACGAGGCAGTCATACCCACTATTAGTACACACACACCACACACACAGCAGAGAGGATTTGGAGTCATTAATTACTGCAGGCGTGACGAACTGCGGGGTCCTTATCTCTGCTGTAACGCCACACACACACACACACACACACACACACACACACACACACACCACAAGGAGGGTGTGAAATCTTGAAATACTGTGGGGCTGACGAACCACGGGGTCCTTATCCTTGTGGTATACAAACACACACACACACACACACTACATACAATAGGACTTTTCCTACCAGTAAAACTCCATGCGGTTTATATTCGGAAGACTTACAACCATAATTTGAGCTAATGACAGCGGTATCTTAAAACGCAATTCATCTTTATTACCTAATATCGATTACGCAAAATGAAGAACCTAAATTGAATTTTACTTTCATTTCCCTGGCTTTCAAAATAATAAATGCAAATCATTGAATATATTGTGCAGGTTATGTAAATTATTATATAGAGAAACATGAACACAGCTATTGAAATTATGAAAGAGCCAAACGAACCGCAGAGCCTCTTAGCCCCTTAAGCCTCGCTGAATCAACATTTGTTGCAAATTCGAAATTGAATATCTCGACACCTAAATATCCTAGCAGCAAATTTCAAAAACGGTTTGAAAGCTTTGAAACCGTACTTTTCGAAAGATCTATCGAAATTGTGCGCAACGATATTTTTTCAAAATGACGGGTGATAAAAAGCAGAACATGAAAAGTTGCTAGAAAAAGGTTCGAGCGTGCGACGGCGCATGGAGCAAAGTAAGTGTCGCAGCTCAATGGGACGAAAAGTATCTAAAAGTATATAATGTTTTCTTTAAAATACTTCGTTATAGAGCTTGATGCGATACTTATTCACTGAATTATGCAAATTTAACAAGAAGACCGCATTTTTAGCAAAATTTGGAACAACTCAGTGAAAAATGATCACATCGAGCTCGGTAAAGTAGCATTTTAAAGATAACACTCTATACTTTCATGTGCATTTGGTCCCATTACGCTGCGATACCTGACGCACACCATGCACCATCGCAAACACGGACCTTTAATTATCAATTTTGCATCCTCTCACTTTATCATCCGCCATTTTGAAAAAAATGGCCGAGCATAATTGCCATTCAGAAATTCTTAAAGAGGACATTTCAAGCTTCATTTTGTATTTCTGCGCATATTTGTATCTTCATTATTTACCAAGTTATGATCATTTGAAATTTTGTAATTTTTTCCCAAATTTTTAGTGTTCCGGGTTTTTTGTGTTTGAGTGTATATTCTTCGTATTATAGTCTATTGATAAAGTCGATCGCTGCCGTGAAATTAAACTTATCCCTAACCTTCCCAAAAGATTCAAGGTTCATTGTAAGAATATGTGCACTGGAGAGCTCGATAGGTATAAGAGAACGATTCATAATCATCATAAGATTTTCCTTCATTTTCTTGTCCAACGCCAACCAGTTCATACCAAAAATCTGATCGGTAAGTTGAACGCTCTGAAATTTGCAAAACGAACATAAATTTACATTGATTACAAAATGACATTTTTATTTATGGTTAAAAATTATAGTTGTAGATTATAATTAAAATATATTAAAAGGAATAACCAAAAATTTTTTCATCAAAAGTAATAAAAAAAATATCTGTTTATTTAATTTTTTCGACTTTTTGCTCTTTATATTATTTTGCTAAAATTTTATTGTTTTACTCGAGTAATACGACACATGATCATGCGTTATGCTCATAATACGTTCATTGTTGCATTAATCTACATTGATTATACGAAAACTTAATCCGTGATTCAATTATTAATGATATACTCAATAAATATAATATAATGTAATTTAAAACGTATGTATTTTTTATTACTTTTCCAGTGTTTGCAAATGCGGTTAATTAAATACATTTAATGTGATGCGATAATATCATAATGATCAATGATCATCACTGTATTCAAATTATTCATCTGTTTTAATCGATACCTTTTGCTTCACTTCGTTTCCGTACCAACAGTAGATGAGAATTTGTATTAACATACAGACTGTGTATACCGCCTGTGAAATATATTGCACGCTTAACTCTGTCTTTGCCAATCGATACAGATTGGAGCACACTACCAGTGTGCTTACTATGAATTGAACAGCAATAATAAACTTGAATTCTTTGTTTATTGTGCATGCGAATCTATGAAAAAAAATATTAAATCATAGCTGCATTAGAATGCATATAATTGTTAGTATCATAACTGACTTGTAGATGTGATTATGCAGAAGTACGCATTCTCCAAAATCGGTTTGGTTGTGTAGAGATTTCTTTAGCCGGCATTCCAAGATTTCAATCTGGCAACAGATGTGCAGTAACAATCCGCAGATTATGTTGTCGCAGGCAACGTTCACGATGGACGCAGCTGTCAAACTTATCATTTGATGGAAATATGTGACGCAAAATAATATGTTAGAGGAATAGTCGTATGGCAACCATTCCCTGTAGGCTAAATTTCCTCTTTGAAATTCCGTCAATAGAGATGTCAGAACCATACACGCACATGTCGTCTCGACCATCAACGTGTACATCACAGTTTTTTTCCTGCAAAATGTCTATGACTATTGTTAAGATTAATAAAGTTAATTTATTATTTTTGAAAAAATAATCAATCTATGAGAAAGTAAAAACAAGGAAAATGTTATAAAATGAATATAAAATTTGTAGAACTTTCGATTATATACAGATCATGATATGTAAGTTTCATTTGTTTTTACATTATTTTCAATTTTTTACTTTAGATTTATTTGTGCTTGGATAAAAACGTGTGTGTATATGTTTATGAAGGGGGAAAATGCACTATAGGACTGTTGTTCTCCCCGTGTACTGGACTCTTATTGGCTAAAAACCCACCTCTTTTTCTGTGACCATTTTCCCCATAGAACGCCCGCTAGATATTATTTTGTGCGCTAGATATTATGTTGTGGAGTGGTTTTAGCCACAGTTTTTACTCTGGTATGTCGAATTATCACAAGTCCCCTTATTCATCGAAGTGATATTGGTAGGAGTTCTAGCAGTTTTCTTCCTACTATCTATGTGTCTTCTTTTTCTCGCACTCCTCACGAAATTCGTTTAGTACCTTCATGACGAAGATGTCCGTCCCACGTTGCCTGTGACGATAGCATGGCTTTGACTAGTTTTTCCGGAGTGGCACATTGAGCATTGAGAACAGCTTCTAATACTTTCGCTCGTTAAGCTCGTTAAAGCATGAACACTGAAAGAATACGTACTCCACATTTTCCACTATTCCATTATAGATCGGGTATTCCGAAGTTTCCTCGTATTTATATATATAGGTATGCCCAGAAATATCCGTGTCCAGATGACAACTGTGTCAGGTAGTAGTGCACTTCTCCGTGGCTACGATTTACCTGTGCTTCTATATTTGAGATGAGTCGATGGATCTTTCCTTTCAAGGAAATGTCACAACTTATCTGCCAGGGACAAAGGCTGTTTCGTCTCACTTTCACTTTCAGCTCTCTAAGTTCTAGCGATGTCGATCCTCTCTGCTGATATAAAGATTTCTGCTCTTCCGCTAGTACCCGATGGGAACCATTCCTGCTATGACACAAATTGCATTATTTGGTACCGTAGGTATCTACTAGGTAGGTAGGTAGTCACTGGTCATCCTTAAGGAGCTTAGTCGGTAAATTGTAACTATTTTCCTTCGGCATTCCTGTTCCTCCAGTGCATCAGATGCCAAATGGCTACACCATATGTGAGTACTGAAATCACAACCGATGACAAACCGTGCTCTTCCTTTATGTCTCGGGTCTCTAATGTTCAATATGAGCCATGACAGGATTGCCGTTACCGTAGAAACTTTATTGCTGATGTATTTCACATGTTTGAAGCTTCGCATCAATCATCATACCCAGATATCGGATGAATGGTTGATATCATACTTGCCAACTTTGAATGTGATCGTCTCAAGCGTTACCTGCTCGATATCGACACGGTTTCCGTGTTCAACCAGCTCCAATCTGATTGAACTCTGGATTTCAGCAAACATCTCGTCGAAGATCGCATTAATCTCTTCCGGATATTTCGTGGTGATAACGACTGCCGCGTCGTTCGCAAATGTCACCAATTTCGCCTCTTCAGGCAAGGTCATCTTCAGTAGTCCATAATATATGATGTTACAGAGTAGAGGTCTCAGCACAGAGCTCTGGAAAACCCGGTACTAAGGACCATCCTCCATGTCATACATGAGGAACCTATGGCTAAAGTAGCTCACCACCATTCTCTGGAGGTACTTGGGAACATTTAGCTTATTGAGAGCATCCATGATGTATTCCCATCTTGCCAAATTAAAGACGTTCCTAATGTCTAGCACTGTTTCTAAACAGTACTTTTTCGCTCCTCTCTTCTATTTTCTACTAGAGATTGCTTCTCTAGCCGTATTAATACCAGGTTTATGGCATCGAGCTAGACCTTCTAAAACCGTACGGATTATCAGACAGCGAGCAGTCGTCTACATTCTCGACTCTCTTATGGACAATGCCCTCCAAGACCTTGCCGGCGGAATACAGCATGCAGAGCGGATGATAAAATAAAAATTCATCCAGGGGCTTCTTTTCTTTCAGAGCACTAATCTCTGCTATTTTTACTCGTCCGAGAAATTCTTCCTTGAGGCACGCGTTGTATATATCTAGAAACATCTCAGGCGTTATCTTGATAGCCGTCACAACCCTTTGGAGCATAGTGTTGCATATATGCAACACCTTTCAAAATTTTGAAGATACATTTTTCTATTCAAAAGTTTTTAATGAAAATTTGCATTTAAACGTTTTTGGAGTTGCTGATTTTGAATCTGTTGATGGATTTCGAAATTCAGAATGGCCGATCCATTATGGCGGACCAAAATTTAAAAAATTTCCGATTTCTGTGAAAATTGGTATACAGGGTGCACGATTTATCTGAAGACATTGAAATATCTCGAGAACTATGCATTGGATAAAAAAAGTGGTTAATGAAAGTTGTTAGTCTCGAAGGGGGACATCCAATGATACCAAACTCGATATCCCACCCTATCCTCTGGGGGTGGGGGTTGGGGGCAACTTTGAAATCTTAAATGGAAACCCCCATTTTTATTGCAGATGCAGATTCTACGCCACAAAATACGTAAATTTTGTCCGAAACTTTTTTTTTGATTCGTGATAGATGGCGCTGTAATCGCAAAAAATTATATTTTCCGCAATTTTCCAGAAATGATCATTGGATTGAGAAATAAAAAATACCTATTCAATATTTTTAAAGAACATAATAAAAGTTATTCCCCCCCATCCTCTCGGGGTAGGGTGGGTGATAACGTTCAAATCTCAAATGGGGACCCACATTTTTCATTGCAGAATTAAATTGTACGTGAAATTTTTATTGCAACTTTTTTCATTCGTGATAGATAGCGTTGAATTTTTCCGAGAAACTACTTTTAGCGTTACACAGGAACAACGACGAGGACGTAGTAGTTTTATGTTCCCTTCGGGTGCTTTTTTAATGTGAGTCTCCTTGCCTCTCACAGATCGGGGTGCTTTTTTAATGTGAGTCCCCTTGCTTCTCACTATTCAATTAATTAGAGTAAGTGTTCGAAATTTTTACCTTCAACTTCAATATACTTAATGATCCTTTTTTCAAATGACTGTACATAGGATAGAAGCATATCTGCGGGAGTTTCAGCGCAAGCGTTTCTTATGCGTTCTACCATGTTTTCACGAGTTGTTGGCACTTGTTGATAAACCTTATCTTTTAGGTTAGGTTGATAAACCTTATCTTTTTAATAACTTTTATTATGTTCTTTAAAAATATTGAACAGGTATTTTTTATTTTTCAATCCAATGATCATTTCTGGAGAATTGCGGAAAATATAATTTTTTGCGATTGAAGCGCCATCTATCACGAATCAAAAAAAAAGTTTCGGACAAAATTTACGTATTTTGTAGCGTAGAATCCGTATCTGTAATAAAAAATGTGGGTTTCCATTTAAGATTTCAAAGTTGCCCCAACCCCCACCCCCAGGGGGTGGGGTGGGAGGTCGAGTTTCGTATCATTGGATGTCCTCCTTCGAAACTAACAACTTTCATTGACCACTTTTTTTTATCCAATAGTTCTCGAGATATTGCAATGTCTTCAGATAAATCGTGCACCCTATATAGAAGTTTTTGAGGTCGCTGATAATGAATTCGATGTTAGAATTTCGAAATTCAAATTGGCAGATCCACTGACGGACCAAAGTTATTATAACTTATGGACTTTTGGAAATTTCAAAATCATCAAATAAACAAATGTCAGAATCTATTGTAACAATATATTCTTGAGACCAAGCAGAGTAAAAAAGTTTAATAACATTGTTTCTTCCGACAAATAGTTGGCGAGATATTGTACTAGGTGCACAACTAAGTTTCCCGGTTTTATTGATCAATAAAAAATGGAAAATTTCAAGAGAAATACAAAAAATGGTTTATTCAAAGTATCGTCCCTCGCTAGCTATACATTTTTGCCATCTCTCTGGTAATACATGAATACCGCGACGATAAAACGACGCGTCATTGAACCGAAACCATTCATCCAACCAATTTTTCACTTCTTCGAAATTGACCAAGTGTTCCCCAGCCAAGCCATGCGCCATCGACCGGAACAAGTGATAATCGTAAGAGGCCAGGTCTAGGCGAATACGGCGGGTGCAGTGGCAAATCCCATTTAAGCGTCTAGATGGTGTCCTGGAAGGTGGAAGTGCGATGGCACGGAGCGTTGTCGTGCAGCAATAACACTCGTTCGTGTCTCGTGTCCCATTCTGACCGTTTTTCGAGCAATGCATGGTTTAAGTTGATCAATTGTTGTCGGTAGCGATGCCCATTGACAGTTTCGCCCGGTTTCAGCATCTCATAGTACACGATTCCTTTCTGATCCCACCAAACGCAGAGCATTATCTTCTTTCCGAAGCGATTTGGCCATGCCATCGATGTGGATGCTTCGCCAGGTAGAAGCCACGATTTTTTGCGTTTCGGATTCTCGAAATATATCCACTTCTCATCGCCAGTAACAATTCGATGCAGAAAACTCTTTCTTTCATGCCGCAAAAGCAAAATTTTGGAAGTTGCTCTTCGATTTTCCATTTGTCTCTCAGTCAACTCAGGCACCCATTTTCCTTCCTTTTGAATTTTTCCCATGCTATGTAAACGTTTGGAAATACCTCGGCGAGTCATGTTTAATGCCTCCGCAAGTTGATCTTGTGTTTGCGTATCATCTCCATCCAATAATGTTTGCAGATCGGCGTCCTCAATTGTTTTTGGTTTTCTGGAGCGCTCCTTGTCCTCAGTGTCGAAATCGCCGCTTCTGAAGCGTTTAATCCAATCTTCACAGGTAATTTTCAATGGTGCATTTTCGCCGTAGGCCTCTTCAAGCAAACGATGTGCTTCAGCTGCACTTTTTTTTTAAGTTAAAGCAGAAAAGCAAAGCTTCCCGTAAATACTGTTTATTTGGCATAAAACTCGACATCTTCGTTGTTAGAAAAATTTTTGCGTTGCAATATATGTTGGCATTACGACTGGTTATTGTTAACAGATGCCCAAGCTATAAAAAAACACAACTTCAGACATGTATATCGACTATATGTATCGTTAGCGCCATCCATGTGTGGAATACGGAAACTTAGGTGCGCACCTAGTAAGTTAAATATTGAAAATGTTTCCGAGTTTTCCTCAAATACCTAAAAAAATATTGGGCAAATAAAAAAGTGTTTCAGACAAAAGTTTTTCAAATTAATTAGTAGAAAAAGATAATAATGGGTGAAGTAAAAAGTTCTGAGCATTTTTTCTCTTTATTTCGACGATGATATTAACAAAGTTAGGATTATCGGATTTAGATCAAATATGCACCGTTTCTTTCAATAACTTTTATCCATTTTGAAGGCAATTTCATAATTCCGCGATTGAAGAAGTCCTCGTCCCTATTGGTAAAAAACTTGACCAGCTCATTTTCACAAGCCTCTCTTGAGGCCTCTCTTGAGGCCAGTTTTGTACCATCATGAAAATTTTGCAAATGCTTGAAAAGGTGATAATCGCTTGGAACCAGGTCTGGGCTATACGGCGGGTGCGATATAACCTCCCATTCAAGCTCTCGGAGTTTCTGGCGCGTCGTCAAAGATGTGTGCGGCCTGGCATTGTCTTGATGGAACACAACACCCTTCCTATTGGTCAATTCTGGCCGCTTCTTGTCGATCGCCTGCTTCAATCTGGTCAGTTGTTGACAGTGTAGGTCCGAATTGAGTGATTGGCCCGATGGGAGCAGCTCATAGTGGATGATTCCCTTCCAATCCCACCAATCACACAGTAAAACTTTCTTGGCCGTTAATCCGGGCTTGGCGATCATTTGGACCGGCTTACCGCGCTTGGATCACGATCTTTTTCGCCTGTTATTCTCGTATGTGACCCATTTTTCATCGCCAGTCACCATCCTCTTCAAAAATGGGTTGATTTCGTTACGCTTCAGCAAAGAATCGCAGGCATGAATTCGGTCCAAAAGGTTCTTTTGCGTCAATTCGTGTGGCACCCATACATCGAACTTCTTGAGACCAGCCTTATGCAAATGGTTCCAAACGGTTTTCTGGCTAATCTTCAGTTCCTGGACAATGGAATAAGTGCTTGCATGCCAGTCCGACTCGACGATTTCCATGATTTTATCGACATTTTCGACGATTGGCCTACCAGAGCGTGTCTCATCTTCGACGTCCATATTACCAGAACGGAATCGTTGGAACCACCGCTTTGCTGCTGCATTCGATACTGTATTGGGTCCATAGACAGCACAAATTTTTTTGGCCGCCTGCTCCGCTTTTTCCCTTTGGTCGTAGTGGTACTGAAGAATATATCGAATTTTCTCTTTTTTTACCTCCATTTTGGAACGCTCTAACACACAACTGGCTTCATCAAACACAAAACTGTCAATGAACTTTTTTTAAAGCGTTATGTCACCTTTAAGTCGCAGTATAGAATGACCAGATGCGACGTATATATCGTGAGATAAACCTCACTAAAGCCATCTAGCGGAAAACGCTCAAAACTTTTTACTTAACCCAATATAATAAAAAATATGGGTTTTTATTTAAAAAAAATAAGTTGACCGTGACTTGACCTTGGCAACGCCACTCAAGGTCAAATTGATAAGATCAGCAAATATATTATTTTAGGATATATAACTTTTGTCTGAAACATTTTTTTGTAAAACTTATATCTTTCGAAATTTTTACGGGTTTCCACCTATTTTCCTCACTCTATATGTGGTCTAAAAGTTCCAAAAGTTCTAGGAAGCAATTAAGACTAAGAAAAGAAGGCAGGTATTTTTTCTGTATATTTATTCAAAATAGGATCCAGAAGTTCTAAATATATAATACATAGATTAGCACGTGTTTCTAACTTTTTCATAACGTTAGAAAAGTGTTCTGTGAGAATCTTGTTTTGCTGATCAGTCATGGGTTTCTGAATCTTTCCAATTGTACCAAATTTTGCACTCTTCATCTGTAACTTTATCTTTAGAAATAGAAAATAGTCGAGAGGAGATAAATCTGATGAGTATGGGGGATGGTTCAATGTTATAACTTGTTTTTAAGTTAGAAACTATGGAATTATTGCTGCCGGATGCGCAGGAACGTTGCCGTGCAGAATGAAAAAATTACTAGTACGTACAAGGTGGGACAAACTCGTCGAATATGTAATATTATGCAGTTTAATACACCTTTTCGATCTTTTTTGATCGTTTTGTCAACGGCGACGATGTTATCATCGGTTCGACTTGTTGTGGACCAACTGCTGCGTTCATTGTTCTTCACTGATTCTCTATCTTCTCGAAACCATTTATGCCACTCAAAAATTATTGTTCGACTTAATGCTGCATTATCGTAAACCTTTTGAATCAGTTCCACAAATTTGATCCGAAAAATCGACTTTATAGCAAAATTTAATCGTCACAGGTTGTTCCTCCTTAACATTTATCTTATGACACTGACGCAAAGTAACAACTGTTAGTGCAAGACATTCTGTTTTATACAGTTGTTAATAACAACTGTAACTATACTAACGCCAATTTGCTTTCTTGTGAGAAGCGGTTTCAATTCGTAGTTCAATCGTGATCCGGTAGATGGCATTGGTAGGAGAGCGATTGTGGAGTGACCGGTGTTATTTAACGGTTCCACATATGGACATTACTACGTTTTAACTTAAACGTGAGCACCAAGGTCCGTAAATATAGACAGAAAGAAGTCAGGTTCTCTCGCGGCCGCCATTTTGGAACCAGAGAATCAGTGTTGATGTACGTGATACTATGTACGCGTAGTATTATGGTTTAGTTGTGTGAATGGTTAATCAGCTGAGCCACGGTCGCCGCCATTTTAGAACCAAACCGTGTGAAGTGGATAAGAGGACCTGATTCTCCGTCTCTGTATTTATGGACCCTGGTGAGAACCAACGAGGTAACATAAAGACTGACAGCCCTGGGTAAATTTTCGTATCAGCCAAGGAGACTCCAAGGGGCCCGGAGGTAATTGAAGAGCGATGATAATACCAACTGTTTTAGCTACGCTCAAGATAATATAGCTAGCAACTATTGCCGGTGAGTGGCGAGGGGAAAGATAACGCCGCTATTCGTGCTTTATCTCGCCGCACCTATGTCTCGCCGCACGCTACCAACAGTTACTGAATCGACTAAGCCACGTTGTGGTTCGATCGGCTACGATACTTCTCCAATCATTCATCTCGGCACGCGCTTACTTGTTAAATTTTTGTAATTAATAATTTCTGTAATCAATCTAATAACTCGATAACTGTTACGAATATCGTAAATCGTTATGGGATTTTTATATTTATTTTAATCCAGTCTATATCTCCGCAAGCTCTGTAAAAATTGTTCTGCGACATCCTACATAAAGGGTTTTTCAATAAGAGCGGGTCGATGTTGCAATGGAATAAAACAAGCTGTGTGTGAGGTATTAACGAAATTCTTTTTTATTTGAAAGGCCCATGTATGCCATTATGTGTGGAATATAACATCGTTCAAATGTCCGCCGCGGCTTCTCACGGTGGCACGGATCCGAGTGGTCCAATTTTCAATGATTCTGCCGCATAGATCCGGCTGAATTTGAGCGATGGCCTGGGATATGTTGACTTTAAAGGCATCGGTCGATTGCGGCTTATTGGCATAGACCTGCGACTTCAGAAAACCCCACAAGAAAAAGTCTAGCGGGGTCAAATCGCACGATCTTGGTGGCCAATCCACGTTACCTCTGCAAGAGATAACCATACCCTCAAATCGTTCATGCAGAATGTCCATCGTGGCGTCCGCTGTGTGGCACGTAGTGCCGTCCTGCTGGAACCACATGTCGTCCACGTCCATATCGTTCAATTTGGGCCAAAAGAAATTGGTTATCATTATTCTGTAGCGCTCGCCATTGACGGTGATGGCCTCACCAATGTCGTTTTCGAAAAAGTACGGACCAGTGACGCCGCCGGCCCAAAATCCGCACCAAACAGTAACTTTTTGTGGATGCATTGCTACCTGTTGAACCTCGTGTGGGTTGGCGTCGTGCCATATACGGCAATTATGCTTGTTAACATAGCCATTCATCCAAAAATACGCCTCGTCGCTAAAGATGATTTTTCGGCCAAAATTGGGGTCCTCTTCCAAATGCTCCGAAGCCCAGTCAACGAACAAACGGCGTTGTCTATGGTCATTAACTTTGAGCTCCTGGGCCAGTTGGATCTTGTACGGGTGCAGGCCCAAGTCCCGACGCAAAATTTGCCAAGTTGAAGTCTGCAAAAGGCCGAGTTCTTGTGCACGGCGAGGAATTAACTGCCTCGGGTTCTCCTGCACACACTTTCACTTACAGCGGCGATGTTCTCGGCCGATCTGGCGTTCTTTTGACATACGGGTGTTGGCTGATCGTTTACCGAACCGGTCGTCTCGAATTTGGCCACCAAACGTTGGAGAGTCGATTTTTAAGGGCCACCGCATCTGCCGTAAAATGGGCGCAACGCGCGCAACGTTTGCACTAATAAACACTCATTTTGATAATAAAGTTTTATCATTTGGATGTGCTGCCTAATCGTGTAATTTGTCATGGTGATTTGGCATCAGTGACTGAATAATAAACAACAGGTTAGACAGACGTCGCCAAAACAACATGGCCGCCACAGGCTGCCAACATCGACCCGCACCAATTGAAAAACCCTGTACAAGATGTCTCATAACAATTGTTGCAGAGCTCGTGGAGATATAAAGCGGGTTAAGACAAACATAAAAGTCCTATACTGTTTTGCGATATTCGTAATTGAGTGATTAATTACAGAAATCTGATGAGTGAGCACGCACTGAGATGGATGATTGGAGAAGTATCGCAGCCTCTCGGGCCATAATGCGGTCCAGTCGACTTAGCAACTGTTAATAGTGTGCTGCGAGACGTAGATGCAGCGAGATAAAACAATAAATAGCGGTGCATCGTTCTTCCCTTCGTGTACCGACAACAGTTGCTGAATTAATTGGACCGCACTGTAGTCCGAGTAGCTGCGATGCTCCTCTAATTATCCATCTCGTCGCGTGCTCACTCCTCAGATTTCTGTCATTAATAACTCAATAATTATCGTGAATATCGTAAAATGGTATGAGACTTTTGTTTGTCTTAATCCGTCTTCACGAGCTCTCTAACAAGTGTTATGAGATACCCTGTGTATATACAGGGTGCACGATTTATCTGAAGATATTGAAATATCTCGAGAACTATGTATTGGATAAAAAAAAGTGGTTAATGAAAGTTGTTAGTCTCGAAGGGGGACATCCAATGATACCAAACTCGACCTCCCACCCCACCCCCTGGGGGTGGGGGTTGGGAGGCAACTTTGAAATCTTAAATGGAAACTCCCATTTTTTATTGCAGATACGGATTCCACGCCACAAAATACATAAATTTTGTCCGAAACTTTTTTTTGATTCGTGATAGATGGCGCTGTAATCGCAAAAAATTATATTTTCCGCAATTCTCCAGAAATGATCATTGGATTGAGAAATAAAAAATACCTGTTCAATATTTTTAAAGAACATAATAAAAGTTCCCCCCCCATCCTCTCGGGGTAGGGTGGTTGATAACGTTCAAATCTCAAATGGGGACCCAGATTTTTCATTGCAGAATTAGATTGTACGTGAAATTTTTATTGAAACAATTTTTTTCATTCGTGATAGGTAGCATTGAATTTTTCCGAGAAACTACTTTTAGCGTTACACAGGAACAACGACGTAGTAGTTTTATGTTCCCTTTGGGTGCTTTTTTAATGTGAGTCTCCTTGCCTCTCACAGATCAGGGTGCTTTTTTAATGTGAGTCCCCTTGCCTTTCACTGTTCAATTAATTAGAGTAAGTGTTCGAAATTTTTACCTTCAACTTCAATACACCTATTGATCCTTTTTTCAAATGACTGTACACAGGATAGAAGCATATCTGCGGGAGTTTCAGCGCAAGCGTTTCTTATGCGTTCGACCATGTTTTCACGAGTTGTTGGCACTTGTTGATTTAAAAATATTGAACAGGTATTTTTTATTTTTCAATCCAATGATCATTTCTGGAGAATTGGGGAAAATATAATTTTTTGCGATTACAGCGCTATCTATCATGAATCAAAAAAAAAATTTCGGACAAAATTTACGTATTTTGTGGCGTAGAATCCGTATCTACAATAAAAAATGGGGGTTTCCATTTAA